TAGCAAGTTTGAGACCAGTCTGGGCAATTTAGAAAATTAGTGAGATTCTTGTCTTTTCAAAAATTGGAGGAAGGAATAGGATTGTGGGTCAGTGAGAAGGCCCTGGGTTCAATCCTGGGGATGGGGTAAGTTTTGGGGTTTTTTTTTTTTAAGCTTATTTCCTCTCATAATTTTGGAAGGGATCTGTAACATACTCCACCAGACTCTACTAAGCTTTAGCATGTGGTAAAATGAACTGCTTTTCATTTTACTCCCAAATTAAGCAAGGATGCCATGACTGTGACTAGAAAAACTTAACCAGTATTAAAATTTTTAAAAAAGAAGAGAATTTACAATGGCACAGATCTCAAGTTTCAAAAGAACTATGAATTTAGTGCTCGATTCGGCAGCACATATACTAAAAAAAAAAAGAACTGTGAATTTGGACCCATAAAAAGGCAATAATAGCCTTGGGTAAGGCTTGCTGCAGTTCAAACATGTTTTAGAACTATTACATCACGGAAAACTGGTTGTGCTGGGTCCTAGATAGGAGAACTCATGAGGAAAATCAGACAAACAGACATGAACCAGTAGAGCCGCACATCGATCAGGTGATACTGAACTGAGCTGGCTCAGTCTAGCTTTCTCTTTTCTGTCCACAATTTTTATAGTCCTTTAGCATCACCAAAGGCAGAGTAAACACTGCTCAACAATCAGATCTTGTTGACAGTACTACACATAATAGCGAGTGGATCGAACAAGTTCTTGGTTTAATTTTAGATTTTTTTAGTGAAGCAATGCAAAGATCTAAAAAGTTAAAATTAGAGTGTATTATGCAGCTCAGAGGTAGAGTTATAACCTAGACTGTACAGGGTGCTGGGTGGGATCCCCAGTGCAGAGCGAGACGGGGGTAGGGCCAACACGCATACATACTGCCAAAATGAGCTTTTAAAGAAAATTTCAGGGAGGGCTGGGAATGTGTAGCTCAGTGGTACCACTGACTGCCTTGCAAGTGCAAGGTCCCAAGTTCAATCCCTGGAACCAAAAATAAATAAATAAATAAATAAATAAATAAATTTCAGGGCATTCAGAAGAGAAATAATAATTTACAAACCCAAGGATCCAAGTTGTGTTCCCCAAGCCTTGAACAGCTTCCTCTTTTCTAAATGTATTTCTTTGTGGGGTTTTTTTTTTGTACCAGAGATCAAACTCAGGACCTTGCACTTGCAAGGTGGGCAGCGGAACCACTGAGCTAGATCTCCAGCCCCTATATTTATTCTTTATTCTAACATTACTCATAAACTTCACACCAAAATACACTCACTTGCATAAAAATACTCTCACAATGATTACTACTTCGCCCTCTCCCAAAGAGAAAGAAATGTATAGAAGAAAGGAACTTTCAATTTAATGAGCATGTATCAAGTAATTACTATGAGCAAGACTGGACTCTCCACAGGAAAACAGAAAAAATTTTTTTGGTGGGAGCTGTTGAGAGAGATTCTCACTACATAGTTCAGGCTGGTCTTGAACGCACTATGTAGCCTAGGCTGCCCTCAAGCTTTTGGTGATCCTCCTGCCTCAGCCTCCTGATTGCTAGGGTTGCAGGGGTGCACCTCCACACACAGGAGAATTAAATGTTTTTGTTGTTGTCATTGTTGTTGTTGTTTGCAGTGCTAAGGTTCAAACTCAGGGCCTCGTGCACACTAGGCAAATGTTCTACCAATGAGCTATACCCTAGGTCTATTTTCAGCTATGTCTGTTTTTTGTTTTGTTTTTATTTTTACTGCTTGTCACATATATACTAAGCACAGTGCCGGGCAAAGGGGATTAAGAGAACAGTAAAAATATAAACACAATGGTCCTTCTTCAGGAAGTTCACAGATAAGCCAGGCACAGTGGTGTGCACCCAGAATCCCAGCAGCTGGGACTGAGGCAGGAGGATTGCCAGTTAGAGGCCAGCACAGGCTGCATAGCAAATTCAAAGGCAGCCTGGATCTTGTTTCAGAGCTGGGGTTGGGTCACAAAGAATGAATGATATGCTACAGAGCATTTACCGAGCACTTAAGGATGTATCAGACACAAGAAGCTTTTAGTGCTTATCTCATTTAATCCATACAATAACAGATGTGATAGGTATTATTAGTGTGTCTCCATTTTAAGGACAGAAGAGAGATTAAGTGTCTTGCCCACAGGCACACAACTAGCAAACGGCAGGGTCAGGATTGGAACCTTACTCTTAAACTTCAAGCTGGCAGTTGTAGCCCACAGCTGTGATCCCAGCACTAGGGTTGAATGATGGAGGGGCTGAGGCCAGAGGATCAGCCTGGGCTAACAGCTAGTTCAAGGCCAGCCTGGACTACATGGCAAGGCTGTTTTTAAAACAAAAATAGGGCTCAGTATTTAGCTCAGTGGTGCCACCGCCTGCCTCACAAGCACAAGGTCCTGAGTTCCATCCCCGGTACAAACCAAAATGCACAAAAAAAACCCAAAAGATAAACAAAACAAAAACCCCACAAAGATACTTTAAGCTATACAGCCTCAATATATGATGCTTCAGATTATAACAATAAAAATATTTAAGATTTAATACTGCCAGGTGTGGCAGCGCACCCCTGCAATCCCTGTATTCTTAGAGGCTGAAACAGGACAATCACAAGTGAGAGATCAACCTGCGCAACTCAGTGACTTAGTGAGACTCTGTCTCAACATAAAAAAAAAGGACTGAGGAGAGCTGAGGATTTAGCTCAGCGGTGCTACTGCCTGCCTTGCAAGCGCAAGGGCCCGAGTTGGATCCCTGGTACCCCAAAAACATCAAAAATATTTAGACTCTAACTCCTCCTGCCCACCTCTGCTGCTACCACATGGCCCCAGCCTTTTAGTTTTCAGCAGTCCCACAAGTATGTATATAGCTTCAAACAGGCATACAATGAAAGTAACAGTTCCTACCCCACCCAAACAACACTGAATCCTACTCAGTGGAG